GCCCTAAACCTTAAAAGGTGGACGATAGGGTGGCTTACCTCCAAAGCTGGAGAGGAGAGGGAAAATAAGAAAGGGTCACCGCGCACCCAGCGGCCCAACAACAACATCTATCAAAAACGGCTCCGCTCATAAGCCGCCGCCTTCACACCTTTTAGGTGTGCGGCGGCGCAAACCACTGCGTGGGAAGTACCCCCCTGCCACGGGGCGGAAACGCCCTAAACCTTAAACCCTAAACCTATATATCATATGTATATTTAAGCCTTAATACAAGTTTTTAGCCACAGGGCCTTGGTGGCTCAGGGGCCTTGGTGCTCAGGGGCCTTGGTGGCTCACGGGCCTTGGTGCCCCCTCTCGTCCCCGTGCTTCCTTTCCTTTCAATTCCTTTCTTTTCCTTTCATTTCTTTTTAGTTTCAAACTGCTTCATTTAGGCTTCAAAATGCTTCATTTTAGCTTCAAAAATGCTTCATTTTGGCTTCAAAATGCTTCATTTTAGCTTCAAAAAGCTTCATTTTAGCTTCCAAAAGCTTCATTTTAGCTTCCAAATGCTTCATTTTAGCTTCAAAAAGCTTCAGAATGCTTCATTTTAGCTTCAAGATTCGTCATTTTGGCCTCAAATTTGGGCCAAATTCTGGCCAGGAGCCTTTTGGAAGCAAATTTCTGGCATTTGGCGGCCCCTCGGCCGGCTATTAAAATTCCCTTCTGGGATCAATGGGAAACGGCCGTTTTGGGCCAAATCGTGGCCAGGAGCCTTTTGGAAGCAAATTTTTGCCATTTGGCGGATCCTCAGCCGGCTATTAAATTCCCCTTCTGGGATCCTTGGGAAACGGCCGTTTTAGGCCAAATCCTGGCCAGGAGCCTTTTGGAAGCCAGATTTTGGGACTTTGGCGGCTTGCCGGCCGGCAATTAAAATTCCCTTCTGGGATCATTAGGAAATGGGCCATTTGGGCCAAATCCTGGTCAGGAACCTTTTGGAAGCAAATTTCTGCCCTTTGAGGGCCTTTGCAGAAGCACAAAGAATGGCAGCAGGCGCACGAGAGTGGAAGGGAGCACGGAGGGAACAGCCGCACGAAAGGAGGAGAAACAAGAGGAAGGGATAAAAGCAAATATGACTGGGGACCATTGGGCGGGTGGGTTGAAGCAAACAAAGATTTACCATCACGATGATGTTATGTCTTTGTCAAACAGTGTGTTGACCCTAAACGCTAAACCCTCAAACAGCTCTCTAAATAGAAGTTATACATCTTTGAGAAGCTTGCGCTGGTTTTACTTTGGGCTACTGCTTTGCAAGGTGACCCCCTGGAAAGCTTGAATCTTCAGCTTAGGCCGTGACCCAGGCATCTTGAGGGCTTGAGCTTGCAAGGTAGGTACCTTACGTTTTCCTTCTTTGTGAGAAGTAGGAGTGGCAGTTGGTAGTAGCAGAAGTTCCTTTCGAAGAGGTTCCCTAGAAGCAACTTGAAAGGGTAGGTACCTTACGTTCTCCTTCTTTGTCAGAGGTAGGAGCTGGTTGTAGCAGAGGTTCCTTCTGAAGAGGTTCTCTAAAAGCAACTTGAAAGGGTGGTCTTCAGGGGTCGGTTTCAGAAGGGGTGCAAGGCTCCCTCCAACCCCAAATTTTCATTAAAAGAAGGGTTTGGGACCCCAGCTGGAAACCCAAAAATCTGTAAGTTATATAAACAACAAAGCAACATACAAAATTACCCTAAAATTTAAGCCCTCCATTCTTTGCTGATGATACACATTCATTTTCAATAAAGAAAGGGTTTGGAGCCCCAACTGGAAACCTTAAACCCTGTAAGTTATACGGACCTTAAAGCAATATCCGTAACTAAGCCCTAGGCTTTAAGCCTTCCAACCCCCAATCTTCCGGTGTTACCATCCACTGCTAACAGTGCAATTTCATCTTCAAGCCTTCCCCCATCTATTTTGCATCGTTGCAGTTCATTTCACACTTTAGGGCCGAGGCAAACCTCTTCAATCAAAACCACCAGCTGAACGAGGTGGATCAGCCGGAGCTGAGCCGGCGCCAGACCAAACAAACTCCCAAAATCGAGCTCCAAAAGGCTTCCGGCCAGGATTTGGCCCAAAACGAGGATTTCGGCTCATTCCCAGGCTAAGCAGTTTAATAGCCGGCCCAGGAGCCGCCAAGCTCCCAAAATCGGGCTCCAAAAAGCTTCCGGCCAGGATTTGGCCCAAAATGGCCGTTTCCCAATGGTCCCAGAAGAGAAATTCAATAGCTGGCCGAGGGGCCGCCAAATGGCAGAAATTTGCTTCCAAAAGGCTGCCGGCCAGGATTTGGCCCAAAACGGCCGTTTCAGCTCATTCCCATATTCAGCAGTTGAATAGCCGGCCGTCGACCCGGCAAGCTTCCAAAATCGGGCTCCGAAAGGCTCCCTGGCCAAGATCTGGTCCAAAATGGCCGTTTCAGTTAGTGCCCAACTGGAAACCCCAAAGCCTATAAGTTATATGGGCCTTAAAGCAAATTCCAAAACAAAAACTGTAAGTTTTAAGCCCTCCAGCCCCCAACCTTCCAATGATATCATCCATGGCTGAAGAGCAAACTTCATTTTCAATAAAGACAAGGTTTGGAGCCCCAACTGGAAACCTTAAACCCTGTAAGTTATATGGGCTTTAAAACAATATCCGTAACTAAACCCTAGGCTTTAAGCCTTCCAACCCCCAATCTTCCGGTGTTACCATCCACTGCTGACGGTACAACTTCATGCTCAAAGAAGGTTTGGGGCCCCAACTGGAAACCCCGAAACCTTGCAAGGTATATGAACAACAAGGCAACGCCCAAAACTAAACCCTAAGCTCCCAAAATCGGGCTCCAAAAGGCTTCCGGCCAGGATTTGGCCCTAAACGGCCGTTTCGGCTCATTCCCAGACTCAGCAGTTTAATAGCCGGCTCAGGAGCCGCGAAGCTCCCAAAATCGGGCTCCAAAAGGCTTCCGGCCAGGATTTGGCCGAAAACGGCCGTTTCAGCTCATTCCCATACTCAGCAGTTGAATAGCCGGCCGTCGACCCGGCAAGCTTCCAAAATCGGGCTCCGAAAGGCTCCCTGGCCAAGATCTGGTCCAAAACGGCCGTTTCAGTTGGTGCCCCAATTGGAAGCCCCAAACCTTGTAAGTTGAGTGAACAACAAAGCAATATCCAAAAGTAAAACTATAAGTTTTAAGCCCTCCAGCCCCCAGTCTTCCAGTGATACCATCCGCCGCTGAAGGTTCAACTTCATTTTTTTAAAAGAGTTTGACACCCCAACCGGAAATCCCGAAACCTTGCAAGGTATATGAACAACAAAGCAACATCCAAAATTAAACCCTGAGTTCTAAACCCTTCAACCCCCCAATCTTCCGGTGATACCATCCACTGCTGACGGTACGACTTCATTTTCAAAAAAGAAGGTTTGGGACCGCAGCCGGAAATCCCAAGCCCTCTCAATTATATGAACAGCGAAGCAACGCCCATCCATGGCTGAAGATACGCCTTCGAGAAAGTGCACGCCATTGTGGCGCGAAACACATTTCGAAGTGAAAATGTACAAAACACCTCAGCGTCGGACCGCTTTTGGACGTTGAGCTGTCCAAAAAGTGTACGGCATTGCGGCGCGAAGCACATTTCGAAGTCAAAATGTCAAAAAACACTAAGGGTTCGGACCGCTTTTGGATGTTCAGATGTTATTTCGCTTGGCAGGCGAAAGAGATTGTGCACCTCTTCAAAAGTGAGCAAATCGTGACGGTTTTTTTCCCATTTTCAACTACAACCACGACTACACCACAAACACTCCAATACACTACAACTACAACTACCCCTTCACTACATTCCACTACACTACACGCCACTACACTCCGCTACAATCCACTACACTACACTACACTCAATTACACTCAGTTACATCCAATTACATTACGCTACATGACACTACACAACATACCGCCACACTACGCTACATTACGCGACACTACATTACACTACACTGCGCTACATTCCATTACACTCCACTACACCACACTACATTACACTACATTCCACTTCATACACTCCACCACATTGCAACTACAACTACACAACTACACTCCATTACACTCCGCTACACCCCATTACGCTACATTACACTACACTACATTACACCCCACTACACTACAGCTACAACTACACAACTACACGCCACTACACCCCACTACACGAAATTACACCACACAAAAATTACATTACACTATGCTAGATTACTCTACACTACACTACACTACACTACATTACACTACACTCCACTACACTACACTACAGTACACTACATTACATTCCACTACACTACATTACACTACATTCCACAACACTACGCTACACTACACTAACTACAACTACAACTACAACAACAACAACAACAACAACACCGACTACTTCATTTACACTACGCTACACTACACTACACTCTTTACACCACACTACACTACATTACACTACACTACATTACACTGAATGACACTGCACCGCAGATAGACAAGTAGACAGATAGACAGACAGATAGACAGATAGACAGGTAGACAGCTAGACAAATAGACAGATGAAAAAGAGAGAGAGAGAGATAGATAGATAGATAGACAGATAGATAGATAGGTAGGTAGAGAGAGAGAGAGAGAGAGACAGAGAGAGAGAGAGAGAGGAGACCTCAAGCACCTTTCGGTCCATCAGTGGCTTCGCTCTGCCATCCCTGATTCACAATAACCAACCTCTCCTATAGGTTTCGATTTTTTGAAACTTCCGCCACCGCCTTGCGCGGTACTTCTGGTAACATATACCAGCAATCCTTTTGTTCCCATTGCTTTGTATGCAACACGAAATACGACCCTTGGGTACCATAGCGCTGAGTAGTCTGCACGTTTCGAACTTAACTGCCATGTCAAAGCTAAAAGCGATGCAACTTTGATCCAGCCAATCCGGCTTCAGCCGTAAGAATTTAGGACAAGAAAATCTAACACAGGAATCACCCACGGGCCCAGCTGACACCTTACCGTACTGCGGCCCAGCAACTTTTGGATCTGCTTCTTGCGCTCAGAGGCGTCTTTGGAGGCAAGGGCTCGGAGAAGGAGAGCCGCGCAGACCTGGGCATTCAGCCGCGCAGGTCGCATCTCGCCCTTTGCCCCCTGCTTCACATCGAAGCTTTGCTGGATGCTGTGGTTGGTACCTGGTGGACTGCAGGTGTGTAGGCGTGATGTTCCTGTGTATGTGCACACTATGTCGCCGGTAGACCCCAGGGTATTTTCAAGTTGGCAATCTCTATAGAATTGCTGTCACTAAGGTCGTTTATGAGCATCATTTTCTCTAGAATTGCTGACACCAAGTTACTGTCGTAGAGCTTTTTTTTTGGTTGGGGAGGTTAGTTGGCCTTCTATAAAATCGACTCCCCAAATATCATTCGTTGATAGCTGACCTGAATGCTCCAGTTGCTCTTGCCTAGCTTACCTTTTGCATTTCCAAATTTATAGAGTTCAAAGGCTCCAAGTGTTCGATGTCAACCTATTCGATTTTATAGACTTGTAAAAAATGATTGAAACATCTTGACAGTTGCTTTGTTTCATTTTGTTTCCATTTGTTTCCATCCGCTTCCCTTTTTTCCCGGGAGCGTCGCAGCGTTCTTCTAATTGTGAGGGTCTGTCAATCATCTTCTCATCTTCACATCTTCACATCTTCTCATCTTCTCATCCTCACATCCTCACATCTCCACATCTTCTCATCTTCAAATCCTCACAGCTTTACATCTTCTCATCTTCACATTCTCACATCTTCACATCTTCACATCTTCTCATCCTCACATCTTCTCATCTTCTCATCCTCACATCTTCTCATCTTCACATCTTCTCATCTTCACATCTTCTCATCCTCGCATCCTCACATCTTCACATCCTCACATCTTCACATCTTCTCATACTCACATCTTCTCATCCTCACATCTTCACATCCTCACATCCTCACATCTTCACATCTACTCATACTCACATCTTCTCATCCTCACATCTTCTCATCCTCACATCTTCACATCTTCACATCCTCACATCTTCACATGTTCTCCTCTTGCCCTCTTGCCCTCTTGCCTCCTCCTTCTTTTCTATTTCTCTTTTGAAGGCGCGGGGCATTGCCGACGAGACGGAACGAAACGCAACCCTTTCGCACGAAATGAGGTTCGATCGGTAAAATTGTGATTCCAAGTCGTCCCGCGCAACCCTTTCGCACGAAATGAGCTTCGATCGCCAAAAACTGATGTAAAATAGCGATTCCAAGTCGTCCCGTACAACCTTTTCGCACGAAATGAGGTTCGAACGCCAAAAACTGATGTAAAATAGCGATTCCAAGTCGTCCCGTGCAACCCTTTCGCACAAATGAGGTTCGATCGCCAAAAACTGATGTAAAATTGTGATTTCAACTTGTCTCGCGCAACCCTTTCGCACGAAATGAAGTTCGATCGCCGAAACCTGAGGTAAAATTGCGCTTTCTTCTGTGTGTAAACGTGCCTGTGTAAAAGCTTCTGTGTGTAAAAGCCTCTGTGGTGTAAAAGTGTCTGCGTGTAAAAGCGTCTTTGTGTAAAAGCGTCTGTGTGTAAAGGCGTCTGTGTGTAAAAATATCTGCGTGTAGAAGTGTCTGTTGTGTCTGTGTGTAAACACTTCTGTGTGTAAAAGCGTCTGTGTAAAAGTCTCTGTGTGCAAAAGCGTCTGTCTGTTAAAAGTTCTGTGTTCGAAAAACTTTATGAAAGATACGATGCAATCTATTGTGGTGTACTAGTAATAAATATTTTGTCTTGATACTACTCTTCTCGTCTGCCTCTAATACATCTTTACTATATTGTCTTGTACTTTGGTGCCTCCATACTAACAAGAGAAGCCCCTTCTCCTCTATGCTCTCAGGCCATCCGTCGTCTAGTTTAATCCTCGCTGCTCTGGTATCTGCCAATACTTCTCTATAGAATTGAAGAACATGACATACATCCAAAGAGAACATATCCCACTATAGAATCGCAGTCCCTAAGACTCTCTGCTGACTAGTACACAGTGCTGTATTCAACATGAAATATCTATGGAATCAGAGACCCCAAGGTCCTCTATAGAATTGAAAGCGTTGACACTGGGTAGGTACCCCTAAACAAAGCAGGGGGTTAAAACGCACCATTTTCCAGGACTTAACGTTCCTGATTCTGCAAAGGAAATTCCAAGAGGAATGATACTACATATTTCCGAAGACACAGCCGCCCACCCTTCCAGCCTCCAGCGCACTCCAACTTTTTGCAGCTCTGGCGGAGCCGCATATCCTCCCCTAGGTAGGGATCTACGAGCACCATGCCCTTACTCACCACCGTGGTGTGTGTGGTGGTGCGGAGGGTGGCACGGACTTGGGCAGGGTCGTAGAGGCACGGCTCCATTGCGGACGCCGTGGGGGGGATGATGCCGAGGTCCTGCAGGAAACTGCACCGCTGCAACTTGTTGAATAATTCTTTGACTGTAAGAAAAATACACTCGCCTAAAATAGAAACAAAAGATTGCAAACCGCATTATTTCCTAAAGTCAGCTACCTAGCGTGAAGCAAATCATTGAAATTGCACACACACACACACTTGCTCAGAACAATACTATCGAATTTTGATGTGGAGTGCATCTTACGTGCAAAAACACGTCAGTGAAACCTGACAGTAGCGAGGTAGCGACCAGACTTGAATGAGAACCGAAAAGAATCTTCTTCTGTACTGCTAGAGGCCAAACAGTTGGAAGCTGACCTTTCCCTTTCAACTAAGCTAAGCCGTTACCTCTTGAACAGATTCCGAAAACCGTACGGTCACGAAACAGACAGCAAAGAGAGATCCTCAGGAAGATGTTTGGTTTGAAAATAGTTGGAAACAACGACATACCGGTTCTGGGCTTCGCCGGTTGCCATTTACGACAAAATGGAAAAGCGCAGGTGCGTCCAGGTAATCAGCCTCGATATCCTAAGGACGCCATAGAGGGCTTCATTGGGCACAGCGCTATGGGCCTTCTGTGCCCTCCTGCTAGAAAATTGAAGACGTTCCCTGGAAAAATCAAAACAATGAATCCACTGAGCAGAGAAAGGCAATGGGTCAATGGAGCCAATGACGTAAAACAGAAAAAAGCGAGACAGCAAAAGAAGCAGAAACAAACCAAGGTTAAAAAAAATCACATCTGTTCAAATGTTTCACACACGCGCCCCGCTGCCGCGGGGCTTTTTTGGAAGACTCGACAGCAAGTCGTTGATGCGCTCTGATCCGGTCCCTGAAGCTGGATTGCACCTGATGGAATCAAAAAGCATGGACAGATCAGCGGATGAATTAGCCATAGAGGCAGAACACGGTCCTAAGAATGTCCGCCTACAGCCCATCATCATCGTCAGAGATGCCACGCTCTGAGCCAAACTCTACTCGAGATGCCGCCCGTGCCATCTCAGTGGCGGAGATAACCAAATGGCTGCACAGACGCGAAAGCTCCGCCATGGTCCATGGACGGGTAGAGGGGGCTCTGTCTTGGTTAGGGTCGGCACGGAGTCTCTCAAGGACCGGAGCATTGAACTCTTCATCCTGCATCAAGATGTTGTGGAGCATGGTGGCCAACTGATAAATCTGAACCGGGACTGGAGTGTCATGCATCCCCGGTTGGGCTGCCATGAGCATGGTATCCTCGCCCGGATTTTCCAGTGCTTGCTCATCGGCGACATCAATCGGAGACTCAGTCTCGTTCCCATGATCGGGGTACCGTGTACCAAATTAGTCATCGGGAACTTCCGGGATGTTGAAGTATCTCCTCCAGTAGTTTCAGATACGATTGGCTTCACGCCAAGAGTCGATCGCTTCTCCCGCTTCCATGGAAGAAAAATTCCGGGCGGCGGGCCCGTTGCACCCCTTGTTGGTCTTGTTCAACCACTTGGAGCTGGCACTCCGTTTCGTCTCCATAGCCACGGGAGGCCGTTTTGAAGACCTGGGTGTGAAGCACCTGGAGATCGATGTCCGACATTGGAATGAAGGAGTCTGAGGTATACCATCTGGTACCCGAGTCAGGCATTGGTGGGGCCGGTGTCGGCATTGCCCGATGGTCCGAATCATTGGAAGACGACGCAATTGGTAAGAGAAGTCCTTGTCCCGAAGGTGACACGGACGTTGATGCCAAAGGAGGAGGCTGCACATGAGAGTAGGACATGGGTTGGGACCACGGGTCAGCTCGCAGATCCCTTGGGGATGCGAGGTTTGCAATTTCTGAATTTCGTATTGACATCTTAAACAGCTGAGGAAATGAACAAGCATGAACAGGCATGAAAATTTTCAAAAGCCCCAGAAGGATAACAGAATGTCATGACGGAGGAAAACCAAGAAAGGAGGTTAAGAAGATTCGACCGCGCCTTTTTTCGGTTACGGCAGAAAGCTCGGATTTGGAAGGGCCTTGTGGCAACTCACCCGCATGATATATGGACTATTGGCGCGGGCAAATGGGACAAGAGCGCGAAGGATACCAGTTTCCCGGGCATGAAGCCAATGAGGACGATGTTCAGAAAGCAGGCTGGCAATGGTTTGGTGGCTTCGCAGAGCGAAAACAAAACCAGTTTGTCCTCCCATCGGAGATCCATAGAGTCAGTTGGCAAAACCACGCCCCAGGTGCTGAAGAAGTAGTTGACGATTCCATACAGGAGGTCTTCTACTCTTGTTTGGCCGATTTGCCGACAAAAGGATGTTGTGTTCGAAGGCCATAGTGGTGATATCCATGGAGTCATCCTCCATGTCAGAGAGGAATTCTCTGGTTTGGTCAAGCTCGATCAAAAGAAGGACTTTGCGATTCATTTCGGCTCGATAGAATGGAGACGGTCCATGTCGAGCTGGACGCCTTGGAGGCGGGTGTTGCGGCTACGTACACATACTAAAGAAACGCGTTTGGGCCAGTGAGACAGGCCTAGACAGCCATACAAAGTTGTAAAATGCAACAACTGGTGCATGAGGTGAGGTAAAGATGATCAGGAAAAGTTCCAACCAGCAAGGTGAGTGTGGGAGCGGTATTCTTGGAACAGGTCAGGTGTTGCTTCAAAGCATAGCGGACGTTGTTGATCCATTCATGGCGATTGTCCTCCTTCATGGAGATATTCACTTTGCTTGGGTGAGCATCAGAAGGGGCCGCTGAATGTTGATCCCAGTCCCGTTTTTTTGCCTGGGTGTTTGGACTGCGGTTCCATTGAGGACAAGGCTGTGAGTGGACGTGTCTTGGAGCTTGGTGCTGCCTTGAGTGTAGCCGGACGTTTGGACGAAGAGCGCGGTGTTGAGGAGTGATGGGAATAGTCTTGCCAACCACCTGTGCTGTATGATTTCAAGAAGGAGCGCTGTGGTAGTTGATACTGTGGAATTTTTTGATCACTCCACTTTCCTCAGGAGTCCCAATCGTCATCATCATCCCACTGATTGGTATCTTGGGTGTGATGGGTATCCCAGCGGGGTGGTGGCTCACGGTAAGTGGGATACTGGGTCCACCAGCCATCCCTGTCAGAGTTTGACGGGTTCCGAATTGGCTCAGGAGGCCTGGATCGAAGATGGGCTTGTCGTTCACGTTCACGATCTTCACGGTCATGTTCATAGCTTGGACTGCATCTGGAGTGACCGAACGAAGCTTCACAGGTCGTTCCTGTGGATGACGGGCAGGAGAACGACGAGAAGCGACGTGGCGATCCTGATCTCGTCGTGAGCGCCGTGGACTTCGAGGCACAGAGACGGCAAGTTTGTCCACGGCCGGTGATCTCTTGGAACGTGGTCATGACCATGACCGACAATGGGGTTCTGCGCGTTCTTCAGCAGCTGGAGTGGTCTGGGCTGGTGGGGTTGAATGTAGCGGTGGAATGGCGGCGGTGGCTGTAACTGGCGTTTGGTGGTCGTTGCGGCCACGGCTGCAAACCCCTCTTCAAGGGTTTGTTTCACTTGGGTTAGTTTCTGATGGGGCAGAGGGTTGACTTGGTCCCGGTGGGAATGATTCCACTGGAGGGGAAGGATGCGATGGTGGCTGAACCGGTGGACATGGTGCTGTTGCCGTGGGTTGTTGTGGAGGTGATGGAGCTGTATGAGAAGCCAGCTGTTGGAGATGATAGAGATGGGTCATGTATTGCGTCTGAATCTGTTGGTTCAGAAGCGCATTTTGTTGATTGAGCGCATTGATCTGAGCCTGAGACTGGGCCTGAGACTGCTGCTGACTCATAAGGTCGTTACCACAAAATTGACCCTGAGGAAACCGGCCCATTTGAGATGCCATAGATGCCGAGGAAAACATAAGGCTCCACGACGGGTCCAGCTGTTGAGACTGCTGTGCTGACCCGTTTCGGGCGTTCCATGGGAAAGGAAACATGGTCGCGAAGGGAATGTCAGGTAAAAATTAAAGGGTAACAGTTTCAACTATGATGCACCCACAAATCATGCAATTGTCGTGATTAAGGCTCACACCCCTCGGTCGTCTAGTCTACCCCCCTATAGACGGCTTAAGCATTCAACCCCTGAATTTCGTGCACAATTGAACCTCACCAGAGAAACGAAAGGAGAAGTGACCACACCTGGAAAGCATGTCCTTTGCCTGTCATCCACATGTCGCGGCATGTAAACGGCAGCAAATGAAAAAGGAGATGTTGGCGCAGCTCCCAGCAGGCTACCCAAAATTGCATCTCTGGGAAGCGGTGAAGCCAATCACAGCGGCCAGCAGTTTAACCAAACGACCGTCAAAGTGAGACTCGAAAGGTGAACGACTGTTTCACTTTACTTAAACGAATTACCAGGTTGAAAAATGTAAATTCGGCGATCAGATCGAGGATTCACTGTCCTGCTTAGAAAAGCATTCCCCGAAGGGCTCACAACATCATGCCGAAAAGCGTTGTGAGTGACACACTTTCTCAGAACAATCTTATCGAATTTTGATGTGAAGCGCATCTTACGTGCAAAAACACTTCAGTAAAACCTGACAGGAGCGAGTTAGCGACCAGACTCGAATGAGAACCGAGAAGAATCTTCTTCTGTACTGCTAGAGGCAAGGCAGTTGGAAGCTGACCTTTCCCTTTCAACTAAGCTAAGTCGTTACCTCTTGAACAGATTGCGAAAACCGTACAGTCACGAAAAAGACATCAAAGAGAGGTCCTCCGGAAAATGTTTAATTTGAAAATAGTTGGAAAAAACGACATGCCGCTTCTGGGCTTAGCCGGTTGCCGTTGACGGCAAAATGGAAAATTGCAGGTACGTTCAAGTGATCAGCTTGGATATCCTAAGGACACCATAGAGAGCTTCGTTGGGCACAGCTCTATGGGCCTTCTGTGCCCCTTGCCAGAAAACTGAAGACGTTCCGTCGAAAAATCGAAACAATGAATCCACTGAGCAGAGAAAGGCAATGGGTCAATGGAGCCAATGAC